TCTTAGACTCACTCTTGCCAGGAACAGGCTCCCCGGAGCAGGCGGAATAACGAGGGCCCGTGGCGCGGGGAAGCAAACCCCGAGCCCCCAGGGAGCTGCACCGAGGGCAGTACAGGGAGCCAGCTCGCCAGAAGTTTTCACTAATAAAGGTACGAACTGGGAATAAAATTAAGCGAAAGCAGTCTGAGCTCATTCAAATCATAGAACGGTTGAGGCTGGAAGGGACCCTTAAAGGTCATCTAGTTCCAAGCCCCCTGCCATGGTTGCTCAAAGCCTCATCCAGCCTGGCCCTGAACCCTCCAGGGATGGGGCATCCACAGCTTCCCCGGGCAACCTGTGCCCCTGCCTCACCACCCTCGTTGTACCAACTGCTTCCAAAGACAACAGAAGGTATTTCTAAGTGGTAGCTATGGCTCAATTTCTAAAAATGTTTTCTTAATAATTTGTATTTTAAATCTTTTGCACTGTTCATTAGGCTAGAGTTGCAGAGCTGCAGCATCCCTGACCACAGAATTTAAATGTTTTTGTTCTTTGTGCAGCCCAAATGGCACGAAGTGCTTGTCCTACAGATGATACACCATCAATAGGACATGGTTAGCGATTCTACTTGAAGAAGCTCATTTGCCAGCAATTGCCGACCTACAGAGCATGAGATGATCCCTTGGCAATGAGCTAACCTGCTTCTTTTCTCTGCTACAAACAGGCAAGTGAAATCTTGAAAGTTTACACACAAGGATTATTCTGAAAGCAACTGGGTTTACTTTGCTCTAAGGCCAGCTTTGTACAAAATATCAGGTGTAGAAACTACACTGAAACCAGAACCAGATTGAACATCTGCACTTAATAGGGTACCTAAAAAGCTTATTGTGAAGGAGCATTTCACCACTGTCATGAATCAAAAATCTTTATCCAAGTACCACCAAAATACCTTTCATGTTGTGAGAACAAGCTTTTGTTTTCAGAGAGAAAAATTACTAATAACCGTCATTTTCCTCTTACTTTAAACTAAGAAAATTCTTACCACCATTTCACTCAAAGCAGGATTCACAGATATCATACCTGTTCCTTTTCTTGCATAATCTTAGCTTGTTTTTTTTTAATGCTACGTCTGTATACCATAAAACAAGACAAGAACCAAGTTTATTTAAGACATTGTACACCTTTGTCTTGCATGGACAGAAAGCAAAATGCATTAACACTTTAGCAATATAAAAAGGGCGCATACAAAAATGGACTTTTGTCTGCTGGGAAGGGATTGGTTAAAAAAGATGAGGGAATACATGCTATTCACTACAGCTGAGAGAACCAGCAAGAACTACTAGGTCAACTGTTAAACTGTTTACTGGTATTTCTTAGCCCTTTGTCACAGTCTGTCTTTGAGTGAACTCAAAACACAGCTCTATTTTAGGAGAATGCATACCACACAAAAAACTCCCCAATCCCAAAGCTCCCACCTCCTTAGCCATGCTTCTAAAATATGATATTGCTGGAATTATCTTCCTAAGTGGAAGTATTTGTCAGCATAACCTGCAACTTAAGCTGCATCCTTTCATATTTAAAATGTGCTGAAGTTTGTGAATAAAATAAAACATCTGTAACAAGTTTCTGAATGCATAAATTCCTTTATTGAAAATATTGTGATAGCACTGCATTACATATATTCAATATTCATAGTTCCAAGGGTCACAGAATTTTGATTGAACAACACTGTTTTGAATATAGACCACAGCGTTTAGATATGCTCTGACAAGGATAATATAATGGAGTAAGTTCTAGGGAGCAATAATGAAATGTATGTAAAATGTTGAACTTGGTTGGTTTGTTTTTTAACTATTAAGTCATCTGCCACCATTTAAAAGAGCAAACAGTATTAGATGTTCCTGGCATCTTCAAAGCATTATGCTGTTAGCAACTTTCAAAATATTTTACAGCATTACCAATAAGAACTTTATTTATGGCTGTAGTAAATCACATAGAAGGGGAAGAGTGAAAAGCTCACGTGCAGCGTGTTACAGGCTTCCTGTATATAGTAATGGTTTTTAGACTGTGAAATTTCTGTGCAGGATTAAGATTTAGTAATGATTTTGAAATAAAACCACTTGGCTGCTTTTTTTCTGTTTAAAATCAATTCAAAAAGAGAAGAACAGTAACTAAATTGAGTTGCATTACTCAGTTAATAATATTCCAAAATTAGACTGTACTGTTTAATGCAGGGAAGCACACTACTGTTTCTAAAACCTGCCATTCTCAGGACCATGACATATTCAAGTCTAAGGGCAGGACAGCATCCTAGTGTTGGTTAGGTCTGGATTGTATAAACAACACCACAGCTTAACGGGGAAGCAGAATTCTTTAGCAAACAGTCAAGATCGTCATTCCTCTGTCACACTCTCCCTGCTTACCGAAATTTTCATTCTGTAACGTGCAGTCTTTTCCGTGTTGAGAGGGGAGAGGGAAAAGCATCTGATTATTTAATGAAAAACAGAGTACTCAGTTGCCTGTCAAATCCTCAGCCAGCCTGTTGCTTCAAGTCTTTTTCAGGAAGGAAGTAATATATATAATTACTAAGAAAACAAGTATCACACTAACATGACCTGGCCTGTTAGGCAAATAGTATTCTTCTCTAAATTTTGATTGTATTTTCTCCTTAACAAAGCAGTTATTCTTCAATTTGTAGAGAAATGCTCATAAAAGCACAGCAGGTGGCTCATTTTGAATCATTTGGTGGCGATACAGAAAACCAATCCTCTCTTAGAAATGTCCTTTGTAAACAGTCAAATAATATTAGGGCAGATGCTCAGAGCAGGCTGTCCCAATTCTGTTGACTGCAACAGAGCTGATACAGTCTACACCAGGTGGCAGTTTGCCCAATATCTCCGTACATTGCCAAAATAATAATCTACTCACAGGCATGTAGCAGCAGAGTTAATAAGAAGCATTATCCACCTTCTCCCTCATCTCAGAAGAAAAAACACAAAACAGAATTATGCACTCAAGTGTTTCTGCCAGAAAAAAAACCCCTCTAATGAGGGTAAAATGAAAACCAAATCTCATTTACAAAATAAAAATATAAAAATTAACTTCAGAAATCAAATAAATTGATTCAGAATAAATGCCAATGCATAGGAAACCTACCTGAATAGTAATTATTTATCAAATTGAGATTTGAAACACTAAAAGGAAAAACCCATAACTAATACATTTACAAAAAAAAATCTGCTATACAACAACAATAAATAAGATTTAAAAATCATGTTCCCTTAAGTGCTGTGTACACCTGTTTCTGATTCTTTTCCATGGCAAACAGTATGCGGTAGATTTTGGTAAAGCAACCTTTTATTTTGGTTAGCATTTGTACGTTGAACATAAATACACATGGAATGTACTAGACAGTTACAGTTTTCCCACAGGATCTTTTTCACAGTTACAGAAAAAAGTTTTCAATTTATACACGATAAATGTTTTCATAAGCATCAGATCTTCAATGAAGAAGTGTTGGAGGAGGAAGTAAAAAACACTTCAGACTGATCTCTTACTGTTCTGTCTCTTACTGCCTCTCAAAACCAGCTCTGTTTTTTTATTGGGTTGGTTGGTTGGGGGTTTTTTGCGTAGTCATGCTCTGGTACAAACTTGAGGAAAAAGCGTTTAACGTTGTGAGGCAGCCTGCACCTTCTAGTTAGCTTTTAAGTGCCTAATGGATCCAGTCTTTAAGGCAGTCAGTATTTCATTCAAATGTCCATACTTCTACATCTTGTATTATGAAATCTTCTTTCTTAGATAAGATGTCATTATTGAAGGTGCTGCAGGAGTTGCTTCGCCCGTGATACAAATCTGCATCTAACCATAAGCCAAACCGGCCCCTAAACAGGAAATACACAATAAATTTCAGGTTATTTGTAATAGTAAAAATACTGGAAGCTGTAGAAACAACCAGAGGAGTGACATGGAGGAATCTAGGTAATTCTGAGGGCCTCTTAGACCAAACGTGAAGAGCTCAATCCTGGCAAAGCGCTTGCCAGGAAGCTTGCAGAGCAGTCCCCTCGCTTTTGTTTGTACCAGCAAGCAGTGCAGAGCACAGGACTGTGTGTGCCCACAACCCCCCTGCCATTCGGCTGTTCACACCGCCAGCTGTGGCTGTGACCGACACCGGAGTGCGGACGTCGGGGTCCCTTCCCTGGCTGTTTGGAAGTGGACATGGCCCCTTCTGGTTTAGGAGGCAGAGGAGGGGTATTTATACACTCCCGATGCAAACCATGCCCAGATGTCTGATGGTGCAGCCTGCAGTCAGCTTTAGTTAGTCATATAGCCTTAGTCCTTTATTTCATACCCACTAACCTTTGAAATTTAGGACCTGATTTAAGCGCTGTCTGTATCCTTGCTCTGTATATCAACAGAATAGTGACAATTTAATAAGCACCACATGAGAAACCTTAGAAGCTGATGGCAAAAATGCCATTAGAGATTATGTTCCAGTGGCAAACCTCTTCAGCAACCAGACATGCATCTACCCAAAACATGTTTTTTTTCGTTAAAAAAAAAAAAAAAAAAAAATCACCAACAAGCCCTACTTGCCTAACATCAGTCACTCTCCTTAAGCAATGGAAATTGCTCTGGGTCTGTAACAGAAATCAGATTGCTGAGGTATCTGCCCTAAACAGTTTACCAAAAGTTCGTTCAGCCATTTTACTGATTAGTTTTTCGTGCAGCTACCATTGCTCCTATTCTCATTAAAAAAAAAAATAAATAAAAGAAGTCAGCTACATGATTTGAAAACCAAACATTCACTCACCCTCCACCTCCGAGCTCCAGAGAGCTGGTGTCTCCGTTGATGAAGTAGGTGTTTTCTCCAGTCCATTTGAATACCTGAGGAAGGGAAAAAAAACCCAAAGATATTTGGACTGCGAGGATTCTTGTACTCTAAAACTACTGGGGACCAATTCTTAAGCAGGTATTTTTTGGTGTGGTCATATTTTATTTTATTTTTTTCTTGAAGGGGGAGGGGGAAGAGGTAATAGGTAGTAAGTAAAGGAACAATACATATTTAAAACTATGAACAAGGCAACCTAAGCCTTTTAAAAATTCTGCTTGCATCTCTAAATCAACAGGCATTCTGTTAAAAAGGTCCAATGTGCTCAATATTGAAAATGCATAGTCCATGAACATTAAGGGGTATTTCAGCAGCACTCTGATCTTTGGTTTGTTGTCACTGTGACCCTAAGCATGTGTGAACTTATACCCTATTCTTGGTATCACTGCCTTCCAAGGTGAATCTTTGACAGTCTGCTCCTTACTCCTCTCTCTTTCCCCCATCAATCCACTTAAAACCCTCTCCTCACCATTACAGACTGTCCTCTCAGCACTTCAGGTAATTACAGACACTTTTGCTTAAAGCATTGCACTGAAGCAATGAGTGATTAACTGTATTCATCAACAGCCGGCACATCTTCTAAACTCAAATATGCTGTCTCCACAAAAATCTCATTAATGTTTCAGACATGGAACCCAAACATCTTATTTGAGAAAGCAAACACCCACTTACCTTGAAATTTGGACTGAATGTGTAGAGGAATGTTTCACCAGTGCCATAGTAATGGTCACTAAACCTGAAGGGATGTGTAGCATACGCTCCAAATATCTATCAGAACAGAATGATTGAACTACTTTTGAGGACAGTGCAAAATTCAAGAGAAAAAAACCCGAAACATTTAAAAATGCTTTCTAGAGAACAACTGAGCTGGTCTTTCATGTTAGAAGAACCAACTAATAATCTACATCAGATGAGCACGTAATCCTGCAAATCTTTTGCATCCTGCAAGTTAAAAGCCATATGGCAACAATAGCAACACCAATGCTGACTCTAGGAGCTACGGAAGTATTACACCTCCACAGAGGGATTATTTGCGACAGCTTGTTAATTGAGATACCCAAGGAAGATACTTCCATAGGCACTATTAAAAAGAATACTCATTACAGTTATGAAGCTGGGGCACGTATTCATGCTAGTGCTGATGTACTTTCTTGCCTGTAAGTTTGGTTTAAGCAGTAGAAAATATAAAAGAAAATACCAGTGTCTTATTTTGTCACCATATGACTAGCACTTCATAATGATCACTTTTTATACTGTTGCCCTCTCAGTCCAACCCCCACAGAACAAGCAGTCCTTACCTGGTTGTCCATATCCTTGATGACAAGGAGAACTGGACTGTCGAGAGATGCCAATTTACGGTACAGAGTCTTTAGGCTAGTCCCGTGCTCCAGTGTACTGTACACAAGCCACCATGGATATCCTTGCACTCGTGCGGGCAAGCGCCGGGCAAGCTGGGCAATGAACAAGGGGAAATGGTTACATATTCAACACACAGGTGGTGCCCCAGACTATTCCCTCCCTGCAGGGGCTTCTGAGCCAAAAGATGCCAGCAGCATAACAACTCTGACACGTACATGTGGCCTTGTACCTTGAGCCCGACTGTCTGCATTCATATCACCCGTGAAAGAGAATTCAAAACTGGCATCCCCTGAGCACTGAGTTGCCAGTCCTCTGTATCACAACTCAAACTCCAGAGTTGCAAAACATAAAAATAAGGTTTCCAGGTGAGCCAGCACTGCAGCAAACAGGACCTTGCAAAAGGACATTCCAACACTAAGTACTTTCCGTACTCTTAAAAAGCATTGACATTGCTTACAGAAGGCAGAATGTCCCATACTCAAAGACAGCACTACAGCTAACAAGGAAACTTGCAGTTTTTCTAGCCATACCTGCTCTATATGCATATTCTCCAGAAGAGCGCTGTGATGCTTTAAGACAGGCAAAGTATCATCATCTTCTTCTTCATAGTAACTGCAAACGCTCTTTCGTCGCTTTGCTTCTTCTACAGTAATGATCTGAGGCAAGAGAACAAATGTCCAACCTAAAGCATAGCTCTTACACTGTCAATCCTCTGTTGAACCAAATTAATTTAAAACAACATACTCCTCGGCTGTCACACTATGTGGACCACTGTATGGGATGGTTATATCAAGCACAGGCAGCTTTAACCAAATGCATAAATTTTTAACTGGGAAGGTGTCTTTGAGACAGCACTTTGTAATATTTTAAAGGTGAATCTATATAAATATTTCTAACATCAGGTTTGAATTTAAATACTTCTAAAACAAAGTACAGACTTCTGTCCAGCAACTACAGGTAAGCCATGCTACCTTTTCCCATAAAGCGGGAAACAAAATGAGAATGCCAGTCTATACACTTAATGCTTGTCTATAAAAGGACTCAGCAGCCTACAAGGGAACAAATTCTGAATACCATGCAGCATGGGCAGGAGCCCGAATGTGGCATGGGGCAGGAGCTCTCAGGCTGGCAGCACCCATGGTGCCTGGAGCTCACTGCAGAGGAGAGGACACCACCTCACCCCTCAGCAGCAGCAGTCCGGGTTTCCTGGGTCCTGATGAACTGCTGCTGGGGCGCTCAGCCTCTTGGCTGGCACAGAACATCATCTGTCCCAGCTGGAAAGCTGCTAACCCTTTGGTGCAGCTCAGGGCACCTAGCTAGGGACAGCAGCCTCAGCTCTGGAAAGCAGTGGGAGGTGAGATGAAGCACACTGTGCCTGGCAGTGGGGCTTCAGCTGGGACTTGGTGCCATGATGGCAAACAGGAAGCAACAGCAGGAGCTCAGAGATGGAGCTCATGAGAAAGAAAAGGGGAAGCAAGGAGGCCTAGCTACAAAACAACCAGGAAATCTTAAACCGCCTTCCTTCCATGAGTGTATCACCACAGAGATGTTATCTTGGAGCAGGAACCTCAAGATGTGGCTGGAGAGCATGCTGCACTGCTGCCACATGCCTCCCTGCAAATATGGCTTCCAAACGACTTTCACCTTACACACGGATAAAGTTTTGCGTAACTCTTCCGTGCCTTCACAATCACTGCTTGAACTTGCAGAAGCTGTCAACAGTCGAGACAACTGCCAAGAAGTGCCTGTAGGTCATACACACACCTGCCCCGCAGGCGAGAAAGCAAATCCACTGGGCTGACTCCAGGTGCAGTTTTAACTACACCACAAAGCACAGAAGGAGCTTTTCAATGAAGACCAGGACTGGTGAGGAGTTCACTGTGGGCAAAGCCCTAAAACCGTCAGTCACACCCAGCATCTCCACTGGGATGTGAGCAACACATTCACTGCATGCACACACGTCCAGCCCACATTCACCTGCAGATGCCTGGAGCTGAGCCCAGGGCAGCTGCCCCAAGCAGGGCACTGGGCCACCGGTGCTCCAGTGCACACACTGGGGTTCGGAAAAGAGAACAGGACCACAGGGCAACATCCAGACTGCAGAACTAATGCTGTTACGTGCCCCTGCATACCCAGGCAGTACAGGTATTTCTGCCGGTGATATTGGAAGAGCTGTACAGCTGCATCCTGCCCCTCCAGCCCAGGCTCAGTGGGATATACAGGGAAGTTTTGCACTGCAAAAATTAAGACCAATTTAAAAAAACCAACCAAACAAACCATTTTCCTTTGACAGTTTGTTGTATTTCGGCTTTTATCTTTGTTCTTTTTCTACTTCCTGAATGGTTTTCCTTCCGTCCTCATTTCCCAGGCCATTTATTTTACTTTTTTTTTTTTTTTTTTTAATTAGTACCTTTTTAATCTTAAATCAAAAATATTCAACTCTTCTTCTGAAGACTGTTTTCTCCATTTATTTTACTTTTTTTTTTTTTTTTTAAATTAGTACCTTTTTCATCTTAAATCAAAAATACTCAACTCTTCTTCTGAAGACTGTTTTCCAGGAATAGTCTCCTCCCAGTAAGGGGGAAAAGTATCCCAGTAAATCAATGAGAAACAGGTATCTATAGCAAAATGCAACCAAACTCACAGACATAGGCAACCACAGAAAAATCTATTAACACAGCTGTAAGTTGCAAATCGGCTCCAAAGACAGACAAGCCCCCCTCTTCACTGCATAGATACCTATTCAGTCTATAACTGAAGCCCACATTTTAATGAGGTTCAGAGTAAACAATTGCAAAAAAAAAAAGGGATCTGCGAGATCAGATGTTTACAGACCATGCAAAAGTAGAAACAGATTAACAGAATCAAGTACTACAGAAACTGGATCTACAAAATCCTTTAAAGATTTTATGGGACTGAGAAAGCAAGCTACCTGGGGTGGAAGAACCCCATTAAAATTCATCCGAGTCCAGAGCACATTTTTTTACTAGGACAGAAATGCTGTATCAGATCCATGCTGTTCAAACAGGGACACAGTTCAACATACCTCCACAAAAGGTTCCTCCTGGTCAGGTCTGGCACAGTAGAGAATTCGAATATTCAAAGGTATTTGTTTCCCTTTCATCATCTACCAGTTTATTTTCCAGTATCCACCACACTTCCCTGCTCTAGCGGCAAGAGCACTCAGCCACGTGCTGCTGCCTGTGGCACACTGTGATAAAATTGCTTATATACTTCTCTACAACCATAGTTTCTGTTTCCCCACAAGGGAGAGTGAAACTTGCATAGTGAAACTTACACAGTAATCATGCCCAAATTTGGACTTTCAGTAGAGATTTCCTGGCAGACCTACATAAAATTCGTAAAGCCTGAACATATTACAAATAAAAGAGACACACCTTTACAAGCTCTTTCCAGCTAATTCTTCTCCCAATACATATTTCAATAAAACAATGAGAGACAAGCTCCCAGTGTGGACAGATCTTTCCCACCTCTGTTTTTTGGATCACTGGTCCTCTTACTTTGTTTTGGTTTTTCAAAAATGGCATGCAAATGACAAATGAACAGTGAAATCTAGTGCAATATGTGACTGCACTCAGCTCTGAAAAAAACAAGGAATTAAGACTTTTTTTCATCTTGCAGTTCACACCAACATTAAGAAACTACAAAACTGTAAAAATAAAAGCTGTTTAGGATTAGAGGTGATGTTGCTACATTTCAAATGACAAGCCCCACTCCCAAGCTCTGCTTTTGGACAGGACAATATATTTTGAAGACAGAAAAGCTTAAAAAAAAAAAAGGCAATAGAATTTTAAAACCAAATTTATATTTAAGACAAATAATCAGATCATTTTCTAAATCACCATCAAGATATTTACCACTTAGAGATTTATCTATTTTTTAAATTTATCCCATATCCTTAGCACAGCAAGTGCTTCAACATTCAGAAATATAATTAAAAAACATGTGCAAGCTTAATTCCCTTAGAAACTAGGCTTTGTATGCACAAGAGACAGACAGATAACAAACACAGGCATGCCAAGTAGTTACAACAGATTGCAAAAGCCCCCATATGGAAAAAGCCAAAGTCCGAGGATAAAACCTATCTATCCATCTTACAAGCAACATTCAAACAGTATTGCTGCATCCACCTGAGAAGCAAAGGTCTGGCACATCACCACATACCAACCCTTTTCAACCAGCACACAGGAGTCTGTATTGGTGTTATGTGTACATATATATTTTGGAGACTTTATTTGTGGCACATATATACACAATACCAATTTAGAAATGCTGACAACATACAGCTGTATAGTTTTGCAAAAGGCTAACATCACATAACCAAAATACTTGTGCAACTACTGCTGGTTGCACACCAGAGAGTTGCCAGTTGTTTGCCTGTTCTTTCTATGGAGAGATGGAAGGAGAACTGAAGGAATACAAGTACATTTGTGACACAGACACAAACCTTGTGCAGACTTCTATATGGAGCAGCAAGCAGTGTAAAGAAACACCATAAAAATCATCAAAAAAGCCAATGCTGAGATTCTTAACAGTGGATGCACACCTGATATGCGCATGCTTCTTACAACGGCAGAAAGGACTCACCTCCCAGCTTTTAGTAGGGGGCTCACTGAAGAAGTTGTCTATCATGTCAAGCTCCTCCTTTTCTACCACGACAAAGCCTTGCTCTTTGGCATCTTTCCCATATATTTCTGGTGACCACTGAACAAAAAAAGTGTACAAGTGATCCACCCTGTAAACAGAAGAGGAGGAGAAAACCGTTGTGCAGTGGTCCATGAACACAGCACTGTCAGGTAGTACTGAGGTTTTGCCCAGTGAGAAAGAAGGGGCAAGCACACAAATAGGATACCTGGGTATTTCTACCCTCACATACCACACAAGGCAATATAGCTCCTTCCACCTGGCGGCCTGAAGCATTTCAAGGTTTCTCTGCTTTCTGTCCCCACAATTTTTTTTTTTTTGTCCCTTTGCTATACACACAGGCAAACCATCATGGAAAAACTAAATGGCTTGTCCAGTCCCACACAATTCATATCAAGACAATAAGCTGTTTGGTATTAGATCATGCTCACAAAAGTTAAGTCCATTAAAAAAAACCCTCACTTTAATTATTTAGTTTGACCTCCTGCATAAATTAAGCCCTAAGATATCACAAGTAAAGCCTACACTGCATTTCTAGCTGCCCTCTAAAAGTTATAGAAACTAACCACAAAACAATTCCTCATTCTGTTAGCATAATGAAAATAAGCAGTTACTGTCAGCTTTGCTAACGATATAGTACGAGCAGTGTATGCACTTCCACAAATGTAGTAAGCTCTCAATCACCGTCTTTAAAGAGATGTTCTTTGACAACATCCATAACAAACAGTGAAACTATTTCTAAAGAATTAATTTATGTAGTATATTAAAATTAGAATGAACACATGCAATTTCAAATAGGAATATGATAGTAGAGCTACTGTACAAAGAGTTGACTTGCCAGCAAAAAAAAAGAGAAGGCTCCAGGGAGACCTCGTTGCAGCCTTCCAGTGCTTGAAGGGAGCCTATAAACAGGAGGGGGAGCGACTGTTTACAGGGGTTGATAGTGACAGGGTGAGGGGGTATGGTTTTAAACTAAGAGAGGGGAGATTTAGGTTGGATATTAGGCAGAAATTTTTCACTCAGAGGGTGGTGAGGCGCTGGAACAGGTTGCCCAGAGAAGCTGTGGATGCTCCATCCCTGGAGGCATTCAAGGCCAGGCTGGATGGGGCCCTGGGCAGCCTGCTCTAGTGGTTGGCAGCCCTGCCCCCAGCAGGGGGTTGAAACTAGATGATCCTTTTCAACCCAGGCCATTTTATGATTCCATGATTTATCAGGAGCCTAGGAGTACTCTATTTACAGAAGGCTAAATCAAAAGGACTCTAAATCTAAGCTTTATGCTACCTATTTCATTCCATTAACAAGAGCATGGAAGAGTGATCCTTCAGTATCAAGGACCATCTTTATCATCGTCCCTTTATTTAACGCCCTGTGTAAGTGCAAGGAAGCATCATGTAAGTATTGACTCCAGCTTGTTGTTCTGCAAGTTCTTCCAGATCTCAGCTTCAACTATATTAACTACAGGGCGTTATGCACTAGATACTAACAGGAGTCACAACTAAGCAACACTTTGCTTTACAAAAGGAAACCCCACAGAAACAGTAACAAAACCCAAAGCAAAACTCACTCAACTCTCCAAAACAAACCAAAAAAATCAGTGGGGCAGGAAACTGAGACTGAAAGAGAGAAGCAAGGCCCAACCCATCTTACTTTTCCTCCTTGAAAATCTGCCTGCTCTCAAAAAAGAAATTTCCAAAAAAGTGGATGCCCTGTCAGCAGCATGATCTCAGTGCAATATCGTTTATGTCAATATCAATGCAAATTACACATTCATAAACCAAACCCATCTGACAAATGTATATGATGTATAATCAATGAGATTTACTTCTTGACTGAGGAACTAGTCAAGGCTAAAATGAGGAAATTATATTTGTTAGCACACATGTTTATAAACAAGGAAATTCTGCATTACTATCTCTGTCCCAGTGCAAGGCATTTTCCTCTGCAAGACCTTGAGAAAATCTGTGACACAATTACTGACTTACTGCTACTCAAAATCCACTAGGGTAGAAAATCTACATACTATTTAAACATAAATCCATGTAGCAAGAGCATGCAGACTTACCTTCTAATACTGTAAGCTATACCCATTGCAAGACTTCTCAGCAAAAGTGTCAATCTCTCTATTAATGTCCAAAAGCATGGGTGCCTCTCTGCTCAGCTGAACCCAACAAGAAACTGCCCTAGACTGAGTAATCTGTAGTAATCTGTATACTAGGCAACTCAAGATGTCCATCTCCCTTGTTACGTGTCAAGGTGAGCACCCCTGTGATCAAGCTGGCAGTGCAAAGCAGCCCTAGAGCCACTGATTAACTCAGCCGTGCTGTGCAGGTCACAGGGTGACGTATGCCAGGACTCTCTCAGCACCTGGGAAGCCATGCAGGGAGAGAGAAAACCACAAAGCCACAAAAGGCACACAAAATTTAAGACTTATTGACAGCCTTTATGAAGAATATCAGCCTAAACAGTCTTTTCTCTGTATTAATAATGTTTCCAGATGCTTCCATTAAAAAGGAAAAAAAATTAAAATTTTAAAAACTAAGCACATCTCTCCCCTCCACCCCCCAGTGCAGCTTTCCCACAGCCTGCCAAGGCCAGGAAAGCAGCAGCAGTCTGCATATGGACAAACAGCTCCACTGGGAGCAGCAGGCTACAGGGCCTGATGACAGAAGCTCGTTTTAACAGCAAACATTAAGAGACCAGGGAAAAATTTAATTAAATACAAATCAGAGGAAGATTTAACTTACACTGTGATTATAGACATGCACATCAATTTCTTCACAATCTGAATCCAGGCTTGATTTATTATTTTTTTTTTAATTACTACAAAACATTATAATGCTGGACAAGCTACCATGACTGCACTGGACAGACAGTGTTTTAGTTATGCTTCTTTACGGCCAATGAGATGAGAGTGGTATTTGGTATTTTCATACACAAATATAAAGTACATTCCAGATGTTTTTAAACGTAGTAAATTATTTTGATACACTGTATCAAAAATATATTGCAAAGCTATCCCAAATTACCTACTGTCCATGGCACTCAAGATGCAACACTGATCGCAGAATCATAGAGTTATAGAGCAGTTGGAAGGGTTGGAAGGGACCTTAAAGATCATCAAGTTCCAACCCCCCTGCTAAGGACAGCGACACCTTCCACTAGCCCAGGTTGCTCAAAGCCTCATCCAGCCTGGCCTTGAACACCTCCAGGGATGGGGCATCCACAGCTTCTCTGGGCAACCTGTGCCCCTGCCTCACCACCCTCACAGTAAAGAATTTCTTCCTAATGTCTAGTCTAAACCTGCCCTCTATCAGCTTGAAGCTCTTACCCCTCATCCTATCACTACACTCCCTGATAAAGAGTGCCTCCCCATCTCTCCTGTAGGCCCCCTTTAAGTACTGGAAGGCTGCTGTTAGGTCTCCTCAGAGCCTTCTTTTCTCCAGGCTGAACAATCTCAACTCTCTCAGCCTGTCCTCATATGGGAGGTGCACCAGCCCTCTGGTCATCTTCATGGCCCTCCTCTGGACTCACTCCAACAGGTCCATGTCCTCCTTATGTTGGGGGTCCCAGAGCTGAATGCAGTACTCCAGGTGGGGTCTCACGAGAGCAGAGTAGAGGGGGAGAATCCCCTCCTTTGACCTGGTCATGCTTCCTTTCATGCAGGCCAGGATCCAGTTGGCTTTCTGGGTTCCAAGCGCACACTGCCGGCTCATGTTCAACTTCTCATCAACCAACACCGCCAAGTCCTCCTCTTCAGGGCTGCTCTCTATCCACTCTCTGTCCAGCCTGTATTTGTGCTTGGTAATTATGTGCAATGCTGGTGTAAGAACATCACCAGTGGGTAGGAAGTGATGCATTTTGCTTTGGGAAGACATCTGAGAGTTTAGAGAAAACACTGACTTGTGAGGCCAAGACATGTCTTGCGTTAATACCAAGGACCAGGTATCACATTTAATTGTTGCCCCAATGACGTTTTATGCACCTCTGTGGTGTTAAAACAGGCATGCATGAATAGCACCAAAACAACCCAAGCTTACACTACATTTACCACTAATTTTGCTCAAGACCTGAACAGCAGCCCCTCCAGCAAAGGGCTGGCCTGTCAGCCAGCACGGCAAAGTGCTGTTGCAACAGCTCACTGCAGAAATTACTTTTTCCTCATTCTAAAAGCTTAAGTATAAACCAGTTGTTAAACATTTCAGTTTATATATGGATTAGGTCTCCTCACTAATCAGAAAATTTCTGCTCATAAAATGACAAGTGAAGAAGCTGTTTTGCAAGTTTGTGTTAAGAAGCTTAATAGATTTACCTGTTGCACAAAGTAACAATCAGAGACAACCTCAGTTCAGCTCAGCAGCTTTATTCAGCATTAGATACACTATCCCCAAAGCAATAACTGACCGTGTGTTGTATTACAGCATCACTGCAACTCCTTGAAGTATTTACTCACACTTCAACCTAGAATTTTCTGAATCTGCCCTTTTGCAATCCCTAAGGAGCCAAGGACTTTATAGCAAGCAAACCAAAAGCTATCTTCAGCTACACTCCTGATAGCCACATTCCAAATGGATTAAACCTCTCCCCCTCCTCCCCCAGGTCAGCAACTTCCACACTACTAGTCTGCTCAAAACACTCATTTCTAAAATACAAGAAATAAACACTTAACACACATGCTACAAATTTGAAAATAAAATTAAATATTCTGAAAAATTATTTTTAAAAAAGACAAAAATGACTGCATCTTAAAGAGACATCTCAGAGATTAATTACAAGTTCAGATTCTTCCTTCCTGGTACCTAATTCACCAGAAGTGTGATAACTGATTTCCCTATTTTGGTTCATCAACAGACTGGAGTTGCTCTAGCTGCCTTCCAGCAAGAGGACCAGGGATTTGATTCCTCACAGCCAGTGAAAATTCTTGTGTGATTCATGTGGAAGAGCACAGGCCACAGGCTATAGTACTATTTATGCATACATAGACCCCTACGGGCATACAAAACAACATTTAAATGGATTTTATTGCGAAGAAAGGGACATTTTTTTTAATGGGCCTGAAGGCAGAAATAGCCACACCTGTTCAGTTAGGAGTGTCTCTCTTTTCCACATCATGCCTTTTGCTCATGTGAAATACCTATTTTTTAGCACTGGCACCTTAGTGGATTCCTTGCCTGTCTTGCCACTGCTCCCCTTTTCCCCTTTCTCTCACTTCCTAGACTATGGCCAAAACCCACATCACCCCCCGTTGCTTTTATCATGTGTTAGCTGCACATATATCCCTCTTTTCATCTTCCAAGTGGCACCTGATCCCTTCTTCCTTCCCACTGGGATCCATATCAGGCCAGCAACAAACACTCTTTTATCTCTCTGGCATGCAATGAAACAAGGGCACCCCTCTCCTCATCTCAGCATCCTTGCTGCATTTCACACCTTGGACCACGTAGGAAAAGTCAGATTCCGCTCTAGAAAGCACTACACATTTTAAAAAATAAGAGACAAACAAATTTTTGTGTTATGCACTGCAGCTTACTTTTCCCGAGGAACAGCAAACCAGTACTCTGGTTGCTTTATCTTTTTACTGTACTGTTGAGACATGGTGGTGCTCTGAGATGCAAAGGACTTTCTCATGGGCTTGCCTACTTTAATGCACAGAAACATTGGAGGAGTCTTGCTCTTCTCCTCTTTTGAAGGAAGCATATCTGCATGAGAGACAAAAGAAAAGAAAAGGGCTGCTTACAGGAAGGTACAAATACTGCAACTGATAAAACATTGTCACAAAGACTAACAATCTTGTGCAAAGGAATACTCAGAGGCACTGTATAAAATTAAACCTGACATGTTATTCAATAGAAAAACTGGTTTAATAAATCCTTGTTCATCCTAAACTGTGGCCAGTTATTCCCATTTCGTCACAGCCTGTATTCACCTCAGCTGTACAGCTATGTACAGAATAGCCCTGTAAAACAAATGAGTAAGATGATCAGGCTAGGTGCAAACTGCAACATGAAGTGGGCAAGTAAAGGTGACAGTGTTTGACTGGGTCCAGGAAACTCATCCAGTCATAGGGTAACCTTGCACACACACAGAGGTCGATCAGGTCCTCAACTCTGACGGTCAGCTATGCAAACACCTTTTGTCTGCACAAGACAGGGTCAAGCATAAGAGCAGTTTAAGTTCATTAAATTGCTAGTGCTACAAAAAAAAAAAATTGCTTATTAAACTATAGCCTCAATCACACTGAAGTTACCTCATTCATTTTAGGAGTACACATATACAGCTACCAATATACAAACCCTTTCAAAAGAAAGCAAAAATAATTTTAAGAACAATTGTTTTTAAAATAAAGACTTCCAATCTAATCATCCCCCACCACCTGATATGAATCAAAGGTACGTCCACTGGTTCATTAAAATCCCAAGAGAGGAGCATCGGCACTCCAGGATGGACTAGGACTTAGAGGCACTGGGCTGTAGTAGAAACAGTAGTATGTGTACATGCTATCTAAGCTGAGACTTCATTTTGTTATATGCTTTCCAGTAACAGCCTGAATTTTATTTATACTAAACCAATGACCAATCAGGACAAAATGATCAGTCAGTAAGACTCTATATATTCCTATTTATCACTTCTTTAAGGGTTTCCGTAGCATGAAAGACACAAAGCAGATGCAAGTAGTGTCAAGAATACTTTGGTACCCCCCCCTTACAGCAATCCACTGCCACTTTGGATACTACAGGAAATAGTAGACTTCACTGACGCAACAGAAGTTACCAATACAGAGTGACAGTTCCTAGGCCATGAAGTGTCCCTGTCAATACTGCAGCTGGATGACATTTTACTGTCCTTCTTAAAGCCAGTAAATAGAGGTGAAGTTTATATAAACAGTGATCACTGAATATGTAAAGAGCACACAAGGTACTTATCAAACTAGAAGATTAAAGAATTTGAAGGTATTTTTTTCTTCTAGATAGCACATAATATAAAAATATAATATACAAGAGTAAAATAAAAAAGACCAGGTACTACAAAAAGAGGAAATTTAGAGCAGAGGGCTAAAAATTCAAAGGTTACCGTCATAATGCTGTCCAAGTCTCAGAGGAAACAAGGATAACCAGAGACCTACCTTCAATTGGCACTTGAATTTTCTGCAGCAGCCACAGTCTGATTTCTGATTGATTGTCTAACTGTGTTTCTTGACAGGTGTTGTCTATAGCTGGTACTAATGAAGAGTCCACAGACTCTTTCAGATCCTTTTCCTCTGCTGCTGCTGAGCTGATTTCTAACGAAGGTGCTTTCCTTTCAACACAGCTAAGCTCCATACTTTTAACTGTATGGACTTCATTAGCTTGGGACTTGGAATAGCTAAGTGTTAGGTCTATGCCAATTGCTTTATTGTTTTCACCTTTCTGGATTTCAGCCTTGTGTAAGTCTTCTGATGACTGAGACCCATTCCCATCTTTATTGAGGTAAAATTCAATAAGTTTATCTTTCTCTATCTCTTTCTTAGTGTCCAATGCAGTCTCCACCTTACCTGTTGGGGAACTGACACATTTATTTACTTCTGGAATAACATCTTGCTTTTCACACAGTTCTAAGTCTAAGTCAGCTTTAGGTTCAACACTGTCCTTTTTTTCCAAGGAATCAACTGTCAAGTGCTCCTGGACTTCTGTAGTGGGTTTGGTTACCTGCTGCTTAGTTCTCCCCAACTCCCTGGGGTCAGCCAGCAAGCCTTCCATTACTGAGATTTTCCTGTCCAACCCTGTATCCATATGAGATGATGTCTTTTCCAGCTCAGTGAAGTCATTCTCTCTTTCTCCCAAAAGGGATTTTTCTTTGGTTTTGACATCTGAAATATTTTTTTCCCCAGAAGGCTCCTTGGCACATGGATCCGCAGCAAACTTTTCCAAATGTTCAGTGGCAGTAATGTTGTTGGGGAGCTCCAGTGACTTTGACTTGATTGAGCCTGTGCTCTCAGATGACTGAAGAACTTCAAAATCAACAGACTTTTCCTTATCTGAAGGCTTTATCTGTTTGGCACCCAGAGCAGTGGATAGATCCCCATTCTGCTGCCTCTTTTCCTTGTTAAGGGATTTGAATTTGCTGAAAGGATTGATATCTTTCTCAGAGGACAGGTCTTCCCATTCTCCTGGCCTGTACAGAGGACAAAGATCCTTTGGTATGTCACTGTCAGGGAAAATGATGGATGTACATAGGATGTTAAAAGCAAAATGGAAACAGAAAAAAATGGAAAAGAAAAAATAAATAACACACCAACTTAACCTAAGCTCTGAAACTCAACAAAAATTTTTTTTCTCCAAAATAAAGATACATTAGTGGAAATAAGTGACTTTAAAGAAAATGGAGAAAAATGTGGAAAGGATAATACTGAAATAAAATGAGTAAACCACTTGGCAGAATATGCCACATGGGTGAAGAAATGGTACACATGTAATAACAATGTGCAAGTCATCAGAAGTTTAGTAACCAAAAAACCACAGGACATGTATTTAGCTGCTGGAATGTCATTCATACCATATTGATATTGTTATTTCCCACACCTGACAATCAGTCAACTTCTACAATGATCCATGCTTTCCTAGTCAGTACAAATGTATTTTTGAGAAGAAAGCAAATTGGAGATAAGCCGTACCCTGTTTGAACATGTTTACTGCCAAACAGTAACAGGCAATAGAGTTGCTTCTTCCCTTTTATTTTTCTCCATTACTCAAATACACTGTTTGAATGCAGACTTCCCCAGAGATTTCTTTTTAAAGCAGGACAATCATAAAACATTTCAAAGTGGAAATTCTTAAAAACTTAACAGTATACAACTTGAGCTCTTCATTACTGCTAAAAAGTCTAAGCTGAATGAGAATACAAGATTCTCATCACTCAAAAGTTACTAAGAAGTTATTAGACACTAACAATGAGCGTAATACAAATATCTGGAAAGTTTTTCTTGAAATGAGAATGTGGAGGGGAGTAGATTAATTTCACTGGTCAAACAAGTGTTGCCTATAAGGACAAAGCCTTGCTTAGAACAAATACATAAGCAGTGCCTAGACTATGCATAAATGAAAGTAGAGCACTCCAGAAAGTCTATTATGTATTATAAATGCGAACTACCAATGCAGTTCTGGTTATGAAGTTGAAGTATTCCACGGATTGGTATTTCTGTAAGTATTGAAGATGGCAGTTAAGGTGCTGTTATCTTAAAAAATTTTAAATATACCTCTCAGAACAGTCCTGGTACCACAACAAATGGTTCAGATCTAACCCTCTTCACTTCCACTGAAATAATCCCAGAGACGTGTCAGTACAAGAGCCCAGCCATGGCATCCCACCAATGCCTTTAATTACTGGTTTTTACTGATCTTCTTTGCACTTTGGTTCTCATATTCATTACCCATTTCTATTTACTGCCACTGAAGTGTTCTTAAAAGAAAGTGGAAGAACAATACAAGTGAATCATTCCTTTCCTGGCACTTTCCTTCCCTGATTTGTTTTATTCTAATGCATTAAAACTCTTCCCCTCCACTCCCCCCTCCTCCTTTCCATGATTCTTACTGAAAATCTGTAAACATAAATTCAGGGCAGAACACTCCTTACGATGGCAATGCGTCTTTAATCTTCATGTGAGAGATGTCATTGTAGAGAGCTATTGAGACAACCTCCTCCATGGGGCAGATGAGCCCATATTCTTCACAGCCATTCTCAATTACCAGAGGATCAGACTTATGTGGGTCAAACATGATATTGTTTGGAGTTACTATCATGACTCCTCCAACTACGCCCTAAAATGGGAGAAGGAAGAGTTAGCACATCACATGTAATTCACTTATAATTTGGTAATGGATTTTAGGCTACTATTCTAAAAAGAAAAACCTCTCTCCTGCCTCTTTACATCCCATCATGCAATGTTTGCTAACAGAACATCCTGATTTCCAACTGCATCAAGTCAGACATTGTAAGGAGAGTAAAGAAAAAGATTGCCTAGTGACACACAAATTCCCATCTGATAAGGAAAAACATCTGAACTATTCAAGTTTCAGTGCTGGCTGCTACAAGATAAAACTGCAGATTATTAATCAAGCTCAGACAAAATAGGTTGCTGGATTAAAAAAAAAAGTACCATTTTATTCTAGATGCAGCCACCTTCATATGATACCTGAATTTATATGCAACCAGCATACCTGAAGGCAGTCTTACTCATGGAAATGTCAAGGTTACTATATTCACCTATATTACAATTTGCCTTTATCTGCTTTCCCAGAGGTACATGCAAAAAGCTTCTATATACAGGGACCTAATATGAAATAGCTTCTCCCCGATCTAGAAGCAGCTACTACCACTGATCCAAGCATATTTTGCACAGCTGTAGAAGACACTTATTTCTTCACAATGTGCTCCAGCTACAGATTTGGTAAGAGGCTGCCTCAGCCATTATTCAGCATTCAACCTATGGCAACTAACCATTTTTCAAGGTTTAAAAAGGAGATTTCCAGTGTCTTGTTCCTGCACCCTCTCTTTCAGGCAAGCTAAAAAATTCACCAGGCCAATTCAGAAGCTGTGCGTAAATTATGACATCTGACAAACAGGAGCCACACGGATCAACAGGGATGACCTACAGTGTAGATACTATTAATTACCCAAGGTGATCTGCAAGGCAAGCCAAGGAAGACTAACAAATAGGCAGGTAAAGGACCACCAGCTTGGTTTGTTTTTCTTAAATCTGGGAGAGGTCAAGCTGATGGCAAGTGAGTACATGTGTGCCCGATCCTTTGTAAAGCAAAGTCTGTATGCACTTTCCATTTGCTTCTCCTGCATCACACAGGTACACGTGCCTGGTTTGTGTTTGGATGAAAGAATCAATATCAAATGCAAAGGCTTCTCCTGCAGATATGTAATTCTGTTTAGCCAGAGGAGCAATATATGAGTAAGCTGTACTTACTGCAGGAAGCAAGGCAACAAGGGATTTTAGCTATGCTGGCAAAGAAGCCATCCCACTTTTAACTTTCTGACTGCAAATTACTTTTTCAGTCCTGCAGCCACAAAATTGGCAATCTGTATCCTCTGCATCTAGCAAGCATCACATAACAAAGCAAGAGCATTGGCCTAATTTACATGTGAGACACCAAGTAGCCCTCTATTACTTTCTACAAAACAGCAGACTGAAAAATTGCAGAGCATAAATACAGTCTACATCCACTCAATTCGAAAAGAAGCCAAACACTGTAGGCGTAAACACATCCATCTTACAAAAGTCAGGACTAAGGGAAAAATATCTTTAAAGTACAATGGTTAGCATCTCCAGTGTTAGAAATTCCAGAGAACTTGAAAACCCAACCATGCAGACATCTAACTGAAACCAGAGTCAACAAGAGCAGATATACTAAAGCAGACAGTTCAAGACGACAGTGTCTCGTAACCTTGAGAAGAAAAGAGGGTTAAAATACTGCCCAAGCTTTGTGCCTTCACTTCCAAAACAGCTGCTGTAAAATTTAGGCTTGCAGTCCCAGTGGGAACATGTATGTTACAAGAACACTTGCAAGAAAAAGAAATAAAAGGTTGTATCATGCAATGTGTAATTTTCTTTCTATTAGGGTTTGCAGGAGGTGTTCAAGGCCAGGCTGGATGGGGCTTTGAGCAACCTGGTCTAGTGGGATGTGTCCCTGCCCATGGCAGGGAGGTTGGAACTCGATGATCTTCAAGGTCGCTTCCAACCCAAACCATTCTATGATAAACAAGTGGAGAAGCAATATAGACATATTTGGAAACACTGCTCTGGAAACAGTTAAAGTTTATCTTAAAGTCATAAATGAAATAGATAGGCATAAGCTCATTTCATAAAGCTATTGCACAATTTGATGGAACTGAACAACTAGTCCTGACACGTCATAACTCTGAAGTGCAGTTTTCTCTATGTATCTAGCAATATACTCTCAAACAGATAATTCTGGTAAGACACGGTAAGGGAATGAAGATGGGCAGGAGACCTTTTCTTTCAAAAAGCAGTTATAACAACAGATTAAACAATTGAAAGAAGAAAATGATACAGCATACTATCATGGTAGCAATAAACAGCAGTGATAGATAAAGCCACCATAACATTTACATTCTTTAAAAAAACGGAGCATGTCTGACTCCCCTAGTATTAATCTCTCACTTATCCAAAAAGATTTTGCTTTTAAAGAATCTCAAACCATGCCCAAAGGCCAAGTTCCACCTACCTTACCGTCTGTGAAGTAACGACAATTCATTTTTAAAAATTTGACAACCACAGGCTCATCCTCTTCTGAAGTAGAGGACAGGACTCTCTCAACTGGTTTGAAGGCCTTTCTTTCCAAATCAGCATCCTTAAAAAAAGAAGAAGTTCAGTGCAGAGCAACAGGACCAGAATCATATATTTTTAGATTTTGGGCAACTAAAAGGCCTGGTTCAACCAACTAATTTCCTTTTGCTTAAGGAAGGAAAGTGGTGGTCATGTATGTATGTACACTTCCTGCAGTATTCTGTGTGAAAGAAAAACATTGTTACAGGCAAGAACTTAAAAAATGCCAAGGCAAGTCAGCTCACCCAATTTCAGTGAGGTAATCTCATTTAGAGACAGCCAATCCTGCCACCTCATCTACACTGAAGACCTCTGCACGCAGTGCACTGGTGTGATGTCCCTTGCAGGTGGCACAGAGGCGTTAAGACTTGGGTTAAATACAGCTATTCACTCCAGGTTTCTCTTCACTCTCCTTTTCATTAGTTAAGGATTTGAAAAGTCTAATTGCTTTAACATCAGCAGGTGGACAGCTAAGCTCCCTAAAACTACTATCTAAAGTCATCATGGCCAATCACCCTTCTAAGGAAAATGAAAGATCAGCTATGTCAAGACCTTTCACAAAGATTAAATCCAGCAGCCTTGTCTATATAAGACAAATCTATATATGGGTACCACTATAATACACTTAAATAGAAAGAAATTGACTGCTTGGACTAAACTAACCGCCTCTGTGCTCAAGGATGCCAGTGCAAGATCAAAGCTCTGGACTGCAGAGCAGCATAGAAATCTCCAGGGTGAAACACTAAATAATTCTTCATATTTAATTTTCTATTCTTTAAAAACTATACACTACACCATTTTCAACTGCTTTGATAGACTCTGGGCCCAACTGAACTTGTACTGGGTTTCTACAGTCAGACAGAATTCCCTTAACTTAGAATATTTTAAAGAGATGGTAAATTTTGTAGCTCAGCAAATTAAAATTAGTGTTAGTCAATACACTACAGAGGTCTGAACTGGAACCTCAAAAAAATGCTATTTACACAGCTTTGAATCTCAGCTTCAGAATCAGAAGTTATTTTGTGAGCTTAAGACCAGTGAACCAATGTTTGACTTACTGGGAGCTTATCATATTCGGCATCTGATGATGAAGGAGAAACAGGAGCACCAGGACTGAAAGAAGAGAGCCTTGCAGCACTTGTTTCTGGCACAAAGAGAATCTAAATACAAACACATACATCCAAACAGTAAGACACAAGCTTCAAAAAGTTATTCACTATAAATACTACATTCTACTAGAAAGACAACCCAATACTGATCACTCATTATTGCAATGCACTCCTTAACAACCACTTATTCTACAGTCCTTCACAGGTGGTGATGGTATGGCACATGCAGGTGTAATTAATTACAGGACCTAGCTCTATGTTTTGTTTAGCAGCACAGGCAAGAAAAGAAAACATTTTCCACTGAATGAGAACCCCTTTTCCCCCCCCCAGAATCATAACCCCAGGTTGTCTTGCAACAATAAAAAAGTAACCGTAAAACAACTATTAACAGTCATTAACTTGTAACAGCAAACTCTGGTCCAAAAAGAAGGCCATTGCTGAAGATGGGGGATTTTTAGTGCTAAAAGTGTGTAACACTTTGCTATAGGTTGTCTGTTTCCAAAAACATAGCTGCATCTCCAAATTTAAGAAAAAAATCTTTATATGAACCAGCATTTTAGCATCATGTACAACATTTAAAAAAAAATTACGCTAATACAAGTGCATATAAAAATAAAATGCTCTGTTTGCATTTTCACATTCCCTTACAGTGAACATACCAGATTTTCAGTACAGCAGTACTAAAACTGCAGTACAGCTTTGGACCTCCACACCAAATAAAAATAGAGTAATTTGTTGCAAGTGACAGAGCAAAGAAAGATAATTCTAAGTTATAAAATGTTCACAGTTTATTTTTAACTAAAAATGTTCAGAAAAATAAAACCATTTTCCTTATCACAGCTTTTGTCTGCTGTGTATTTTTAGGCAAGTCATGCCATCTCTTTGTGCCTCAGTTTCGCCATCTGCAAATCAAGATGCTTCAACCTCTTCATGTCCATGAAGCAGAAGTAGAGGTCTGCTCTTCATGAACCAGGTGTTAGCCTTCACATTTGCATTTCCAATAACTGACTCTCCCCAAACCAGTCTATCTCCATTTATTTCTCATCTTACAGGAGACTGACTCATCCTCAACATAATGGCAAAGAGCCATTTCAATTACTGTATCTAACTCTCTAATTATTTAATATATTATATATAGCATTTATCTAAGCTTTACAAGAATCTGACTCTCTTGCAACAGCTACATTACCCTCTTGAGCTTCAGAGTCATCTTTAAGCTTTAGGGACAGCAAATAAGTAACAGAAGTCAGATACAGCAATTACCAAGCTCCCCCCCTCCCAGCTCCAGGTAATGGTCTAGTGAGTACCCCTCTGAGGGATTTAAATTACTGTCCATTATCCTTGTATCTAAGTACCTAAAAGACATGAAAGTAGTAAAAAGCTTTTAAATACATAGCAAATAATCAAGTTTCAGGTATAAAAAACATAAAAGATTTACCTGGCCTGGCACAATCGTCTGTGTGAAAAGCTTATTGAGCTCCACAAGCTTGTTTGGGGTGATGTTAAACTTTAATGCTATGCTGTTTATGGTGTCCTGATTTCCAGCCTGAAGAAATAGCTGAAGGTTAACATACCACAGCGAGCACATTCAGCACACCACTTGAACTAACCATCTAACAGACTGCTTGCAGGGAATAGATTTGATGATCTCAATACACCCTGTCTAATAGCTTACATGAAAAGCCAGTATTAATAAAAAGAAAAAATATTCTCTCGAACTATACAGAAGATAAAATAGAGAGGTGTTACAGATGTCCCTCTCCTTTTCTCATAAAACTTTAAAGCAGCACCACCATATTTAGAACTGGTCCAACAAGTGGGTAAAGGACATGCCCTGGGAAGTTCATTACGCCTTCAGCAGTCACAGCACAATCGAGCACTTGTGCTGTTCCCAGCTGGGACACTCTCCTTTCACAGTCGCTCTGCTTAATGGCGAGTGGGGTGCAGCCCCTGCTCAGGGACCTGGCCAGCTCACACAGAGACGTTCTGGGCAGAGCCAGTTCTCTGAGCTGCCGCAGTAGCATGCTGCCACCCTGCTCTGGCTTAGAGAAAGAAGTCTCACATCATCTCAGGACCAAGCATAAGCCAACCACTTGATGATCTAAGCAACACTGTGGAATGAAAATAATTTTCAGATAACAAAATCAATTGCTCTACAAAAGAGCCATGGTGCAGAAGTGAAAATAGGACTAGCAGCTGTGAGAAGAGGCAGAGGACCTGGGTTGAGCAGTGGTTCAGGACATGAGCTTAGCTCTCCTCACACAATAGTATCTGGAGCAATCCCTGTTGAGATTGGTACAAACTGCAGCCAGTATTCACTTAGTGCTTTCAGTTTCGTGCCACTGGCTCCCTCTCAACCTCAACAACTCCACTTTCAAAAAGCAGACATGAACAAAGCACACACCGATACTTACAGTATATTCTATGGTACCATGGGGTTTCTGAGAAACCATTTTTTTCTCTTTCTTTTCATTGGTTTTGTTTTGATTGTCATCTAAAGAGGAAAAAAAAAATTATTCCAGTAATTGACTTTCAAGGTGTTTGCCTATCAACGTGTTTTGAAAGAGATCCACAGAATGTGCAAATTGCAGCTGTGAACAAGAACAAGAGGGCATGTCAAAAATATCTGTTAGGTCTTAAAATGGCACTGCAAGGCAAGCAAAACTTCACCAAGTACAGCAGGTTTAGTAATCATTCAGGAACTCTGCAAGAGTAACGTATACATGATACCATATCAACACAGAACTGCTCCAATGTTTTTCTCTGTGTTTCCTACGCAATTCAGCTGTGGGATACAAGTACTTTGTTGTTGAGCTGCTATCAAGGCTGAGGTAGATGAACGTATGCACTGATACTGCATCAGTACAACTGGTTAATCATCACTTCACCACCAGCATGTCATATTTAAAGACTACGTTAAACTCTGAAGGTAAAAGTATGCCAAGACTCCTGCAAAACATGCATGCATGCAGTATACAGACAAGCACCGGAAAACATAAAGCTTGTTCAGAAGATGTTTTCCATCAGCTGCAGTACACAAAACTCATTGCACTTGCAGAAACCCTTGCAGGACCCAAAAGACACACATCAGCATTCAGCAGCGTAAGCAGGGGAGCTCTTTCCAATTTGTACTGCAGCAGAGGGGGGTAAGATGCCAGCTGCCAAACCAACCCCAGCCCCATGGGGCTCACCCTCCACACCGACAGCCCAAACCCACGTACCTGGGGGGGGTGAGGGTGGCAGGCAGCCCCAGCTCCAGGAGCAGGGCCGAGGCGCAGAGAGGCCACACATGGCTGCCCCGCTCGCCCAGCCTGCTCGCCTCCGGCCCCCTGGAAAGATCCTGCTGCCTCCGGCAGTGTGCTGCAGCCCTGCCGAGACGGGGAGAGGTGAGAAGGCAAGGCAGGGCTCGGCCCAGCAAAGTCAGCAGCTGGGGCCAGGAGCGGGGAGACACTGCCCTCCTGGGGGGACCGTTCCCGTGGTCCAAGGCAGCAGCTCCAGAAGGTCAGGGAGGAAAGGATGGGGAATAGCAGCACAAGGCTTCTGGCTCGCATTCAGGCTCTGCTGCAACCTTTGCTATTTCCAGAGAGCAAGAGGCAGATAGTAAAAAGAAGGCGAGGACTGGCCTGCCCCACTGTAACCTACACAAGAAGAAAGGAGGGGCTCGGGGGCATGCTGCACCTGACCCTTCTGCCAGCCCTTTTCCACAGTGAGATTAATGCTGAGGGCTGCCTCAGCACCTTCCAGAGGCTACACAGTCAGAAACCATCGCCTCCAGTCACGTCTCACAAGAGCCCTGAATATCCAGGCACTACTGCAGACATACCCCACCCACCACCTGACAGGGATGCAGTTGTGAGAAGTGCCATGGTTAGCGCTATAACAGATAGCAAAGACTTTTTTTTGCAACGTGGTAGAAGCAGAAAGCATGCAGAGACTGAACATGCACAATTTAAGTACATGTGGATAGCACACGTGGAAAGAAGGACAGAGGCAGGAAGAAGAAGACCAGGACGATGCTGGCTTTTCCCTGATAGCACAAATAACTTCCTCCTCTACAGCTTCCCACGTGGGAGTGGATGTTCCTCTCTCTCACACCTCTCTCTGCTGTAAAGTACACTGTATTCTTCAGGTCCTCCTAATGCCATTGGCTGCATGAGTTTGGAGATAAAAAATACTATCCACTAAAAAGTTATAATCTGAAATACTAGAGACATTATATGCTCTAGTTCTTGACTGACAGGACCATGGGTTTGTTTGCTTAGTAGGGTCTCCAACACAATCCTGGTGCAATACAGAGGAGTGAGCTAGACACTCACACACAGTTGAAAACCCAAAACTGTACAGACAAGTAACAGAGAAAAAGTTCAAAAGACAAGTTGAGTTTAGACTAAACATAATACAGTCCTCCTTTTGCCAATAAAGGTTATAAATTCCAAGTAAGCCCAACAGTTAGACATCTTGCTTTTCTTTCCCATCTACATGCAAGAATGCATGTTGTATGGCCTGTTTAACTACAGGCCAAAAGAAGCAGACACAGTCTGTGAACCTACCTGAAACCAAAATCTGACACTTCTTGTTGAGATTTTTTTTTTCCCCCCAAATCCCACCAACAAGGGGTTCTGGACACCATCCTTACACTGAGCATAACTACTCGGCAGGCTCTGGCAATTACAAACCACATCATATCACTCTGAATAGTCAAAAGTCTTAACTAGTCTTTACAATTATTATTTTTTTTAATTGTAAATTAAAAAATTCAGACCTTCAGGGAAAAAAATTCCAAAGAAACCATAAAATCTGACAGGTCCTGCTAACCCCACTTATTGCACACATAGCGAGGCCAAGGTCACAAATTATTCTCTGCATGAATGGTTACAGTGGAGGGGGTGGAAAGCCTGGCAAAGCAAGCAAACCACCACAATATATTATTTCTCCAGTTTCTTTATCCTCTCTTATTTGTCCTTCAGGAAGCCAAATGTTTTCCAATGTGATCTGCAGGCAACGAGCTCTAGTAGTAGTCCCAAAGGCAACCAGAGCACACACAGGCGTGACGGAGTCCTTGGTAACCGCATTTCTTTCAGACAGAACTAGGTGGAAGAGCTGCACCTTTCCACAGACTTTAAAATAAAAGACACTGGCTACTTTTTGAACTTAGATTTTTGCTTAATGGTGAAGTGACTCATGGTTCTGCCTCCCAAATTTTCCTGCGCTGCACATACACTGAAGATGGGATCATACAACCATGAGAACTGACTAGGTGTTAATGCAAATTTGATCACACTGCGTTTTTAGGAAAAGTGCAGAGTGGGTGGACTGAACCTCTCTGTGATTTCAGGAAACATGTAAAATAAGAATTGTCTAAAAATAGTAAAATTAATGAAAAATGAGAAGAAGAATGACAAGTGAGAATGGGTAAGAAAATACAGTGTCTTATTGAAAACTGATAGGTCTAGAACGGAAATTTTTCTGCCCTTACTGATATATTTATACCTAACTCAATTTCCTAGCAGATTGTTCATTTCTCATTTTGCAATGCTATGGGAAACCTTAAAAGAAGTTACCTTAGGAATAATTTGGAAAGTAACTATTGAAGGAGTGCGACAGAGTTCAATCAGTTTATCGTCCAAAAGACCTTGACACATGATACGAGAAATACACCTTTACAACTATGTAAATAGCTGTATAAGTAGATTGAATAGGTCAAGAAGCATCAACAGAATCCCGGGCTGCTCACACTGACATACAACGTGCGGCTGCAAGGTGACACCATCAACACCAATGTTACTTGCTAACCTGCTGCTGGCTGAAATCAGTGTGACGTTTCACAGTGCTGGCAGTGAGGGCTGAACCTGCCTGACAGTTCCCAAGCCATCAGTTAGGCTGATGCCTG